GAACTAAGATACTAGGAGAGTAGATCATGTCATAGTACAGTCATTCCTGACATTTATAAACTTCAAGTTTCCTAATAAAGTGTCATGGAAAAGCATAGGAAGTTGCAATGAAATCAACCAAATCACCTTTCGTAGTACATACATTCATGGATAGTTTGGATTATATGGTGACTGAAACATTTATTCTTGCTCCAGAAATATGCTTTCAGTGTGTTGATGACACGTCCACAGTATTGCGATTAGAGCACATAGATCATTTCTTCATGCATATAGCCTCAGTATTGAACGCAACTTAACTTACTAATGAAGTAGACAATACATTTCACAGGAAGCCTTCAGACTCAAATCATTACCTAAACTTCAGATCATCTAACTCTGTGTCGATTAAAGTAGGGTTAGTAAAGTGTATGAGTAACAGAACATCTGAGACAAAAAGTCGGTTACATTTAAGACATTATTCATCAATAACAACCTTCCTAAATTCATAAGAAATTAAATGAAAAATACTTTTCTATAGTAGTAAAACAGATGTTAATAATACTAATAACAATATCTTGATGTTGCTGCTTTTACTATCGCGTCGTTATTATTTCTTCTTTGGATTCCTAGTGGGACATACGGCTTCAGTGGCACATCTCCATTCCACTCTCTTCTCTGCAGTATTTCAATCCGGCTCCACCAATGCCCACAAGCTTGCATTTCTTCCTCACACCATCCTCTCCATGTCACCCTTGGCTTGGACGACCAACTGGTCGTTTCCCCTTTAAGTTCCACTCGAGGGCCTGACCTGTCGCGTGATGTCCCATAACGGTCTTCTCAGTGTATGCCCCATTCATCTCCACTCTGTTCTGTATATTTGTTGTGCGATGGGTTCTTGGTCGCTTCGTTGCCAGCCAGCCAGCCAGCAGCAGCCAGCAGCCAGCCAGCCAGCCAGCCAGCCAGCCTGCGTCTTCCGGTCAGAACTTTAGGTGCAGAGCATTGTTTAGTCTCTCCAGGATGATGTGGCTTAATATTTTGCTTGCTTTGGGTGGAGAGGAACAGGAGCATGATTCCTCGCCAGTTCTTGCAAAGACTCAGGTCTCTCTGGTTTGGGAATTCGACAAGGTAACCCTTCTTCTAATCAATCGACAGCTACCTCTCCTTCCTTCCTTTCTTCCTTCCTTCCCTCCTTACAAGCCTTCTTAACTAGTGGTGTGAGCATGTCCGCTGCTGTTGTCTCTGCGTCTGTTCTTAGTGTTTCTGGCGGATTTCTATCTGGTCCCGCTTGTATTCCCGGACTTCACTTCTCCATTTGTTGGAGGGCTTGTGTTCACTGGTAGTTCTGTAGTTGGGCTGCTGGAGGTATTTCTGGACGAGTTGCACGTGGTGGCGGTGGTGGTGATGGCGGTGGCGGTGGCGGTGGTGGTGGTGGAGGTGGCGTGGTCGATTCAAGAGTTCGTTGGAGTGGTCATCCATCTGTCACTCCGTTTCTCCTCTCTGGTGGCAACTAGGTTTCCTTCACTATCTTTCATTGGTTTCATCTGCGTTGACCTCTTCTCTCCCAGATAATAACCTGGTTATTTGGTTATGATGTTGTCAGGTCTCTGTCTCTGTCTCTCCTACCAGCAGCCTGTTCTGCTTCACTTGCCAGTGTGTCGTAGAAGTGTCATTTGTGTTTCCGTTTACTCTTCTTCACTTCTTTGTCCAGTGTAGTGTTTTATATATTGTGTTCAGTTCCTCTCTCCATTGTTCATCCCTGCACTTCACTCCACTGCACTCCACTGCACTTCACCGGTTCATATTCTGCTCCACCATCTTTCTCTCCCTCCTCTATCACCTTCCATGTATCCGTCGAGATCCATTCCTAGTCTTGTTTCCTCTTCCTATCTAACTCAGTTGTGCACGTTTCTCTCCACACAACTTTCAAAGAGTTCCAGTGTTTTTCCATGCAGGTCCCCCCCAGGGATGGGGATGTTGCTCAACGTCTCCCATTTCTCCCTGATGGCTGACTGACGTGAAGATGTCATATGTAGTTTCGTCCTTCACTTCAGTTCAGTTCAGTTCAGTATCGATTCTGGGTGTTGAACTTGAACTATGGTCGATCATCACCAACTTCTGTGAAGTCTTTCAACTTGATTTTGAAGGTAGGTAACTTTCACTAGATAGTGAGTGGTGTGAACCACCTACATCTGCTCCTCTTCTTCATCTGGTCCTGTGTCCAGTAGGCTCGCTGCCTCTCCACATTCTTCACACTGAAATGAAGTCGGTCTGATTTCGAGTGTAGTGTATCCTGGTGTCTGGTGAAATCAAATCCATGTCTCTGCCTTGTGAATATCATTGTGTTTGTACACACTGCCTCGCCTCCAATCACCAAATCGTTGAATGCTCACAAGTCTGTAAACAATTCTCCATTCTCGTTCATTTCACAAACGAGTGCTTCTCGACCCATGATCACTTCTCTTCCTGTGTTGCCCACTCCCAGTTTGACCTTCATGTCACCCCACCCATTAGAATGAATTGTGATGTCGCCATCTGTGGTGTGGTCTTATCTATTACTGATTGCAGTTGTCTGTAGGATTCCTGCTCCTTCTCTTCATGTGCATTATTTGTAGGTGTGTAGCGTAGTGTATCATTGTATGATTGTGACTTTCCTACCCTTTGAGTTGAATCTTGCTGTCATGAGGTTTATCGTGCAGGAGGAGATTGGTTGCCACTGTATGGGAGAGAGCCTTTGATGCTCTTCAAGGGGACATCATGATAGCCACTCGAAAACTCAGTGTGGTCGTGGTTGTCGTGTGGGTGGGAATATCGGAGTAGATTATTGACTCTCCAGTTGACAGTTTGGAGAGTCCACTTCCATTCCACCTGCAGATTCCTCACAGATTTCAGGCACTTCTGTGCCATACCTTCTCATCTCTTTTGGAATCTGGCAGCGTTGCCAGTCAGCTTGAAACATTTTGCGGACATTCCATGTCCCCGTTTTTACTTTTGCTTTCATTGAGAGAAGTGAGGACACATCGGCCGACTAGCTTCCTGAAGGCTTTCTACGACTGGCGTCATTTTGTCTCTCTGATTCCAGTGAGTAATACGTTTGTTTTTATTATTTATATTTTTTTTATGCTTCGAAGTTTCGTTAGCCATTATATTGATTGTCGGGTTTAGAGTTGCTATCCGTATGCCCAACCTTACCTCTTTACCTGATCTTAAGAGCAGCTAGTAACTATCCTCTATACTGCCCATGATTTCACTTTTTCCGTAATAATAGCAATAATGGTGACGGAAACACTATGAAGAGATGACGCAAATCCTCTTTGTTATTAGAATATAAAAACGGTAATTAATTCTTGTTATCTAGGGTTTTGAATGAGGCTGGTATAAGAGCGCGCTTAAGCCTACAAACTGACTTATGGACATGCTTTGTAGATAGACAGATGCAATTAATCCAGTCGAGCAAAAGAATTAAGTTTGCCAAGTCGTTTGCAATGATTTCGAGGTTAAATACATGGACCAAATTAGTCAACCTTGGTTAATTAGGTTGTATGAGCATGAAAATTTAGCTAAGATTGCTAGACCTTGTTAAGGTAAACAATGTAGAAAATGTGATGACTGCAGGTATTCATGGAGTCGTGGAATACAGTTAGATAGAATGACACTAGTGCAAACTTGGGTGGAAACGGAGACAGGTCACTGAAACTTTGTTAAGTTTAAAATCACTAATTATGTACAACATTAATGACTCAGCACCTGTTCCAGATGTATGAAAAATCCTACTGCCAATATCACAAAGTAGGAAAGAAAATCAGAACTATATGAACCATGTCTCAAAGCTGCGGGGATAAATTGCATACGAAACGTCATCCAGTAATAAAGACCTAACTTTACTGTTATTCACCAAATAAATCAACTGAAATGGAATTACCATCTACAAAAATGTGAAAGTTTTACTCTTATCCAGACAGAACAGTATCCTATCCTATTTATCAGTTTACTATCTTTACGATTCGTCATTCTGGTTGGAGGGTATAACAATATCGCAAAGCGCCAGAAAACCTATATGGATTATTCTCTACACACATATGAAATGAAATTTGTGAACTATAAAAGTTATATTCATTCTTTAAACAAACTGAAGCCACATAATTTCATGAATATATTCTTAAAAGTGGATTTCAAAAATAGTATTAATCCGTTTGTATGCAGTCGGGACTGACAGTACCTTGTTTAAAATGATTCATGACAGGTTCTTTATTGATATATATATATATATTGATATATCTACTACTAACAAGTAGTAAGCATTATAAACACACTTAAGTAGTTAAATTTTATGATAAGATGAATTTGTTGATGCAGTTTGAATTATTCGTAACCATTTGTTTATATTTTAAGTAGATTGTTATATACTAGATTAATAAGATCTGGTATTTGTCAGCGTATCATCAAGTCACATCTGAAGTATAGTGCAGATTGTACTTCATATGAATTTTCAATCAATATTGTCCAGTACAACAATTAGAGGGATTACTTTCAATGAGTTTAACTACAGATTGATTCCGATCTACGATATGACTATGCAGTCAGATAAAACAGAAAGTGACAATAAAGTGAATGTCCTGGTTCTTAATACTTGGTGACTGAAGCGTTTATACAATCTTCTTTTTAAACAACCATTTGCATTATGGTGCCCAACAGCAGATATGAAATATACTGGAATGTATAGTTTACGCAAAATGAGTTACCTCAAATTTATGTGGAGTGGAAAATATGAAAGCTGAACATAAATCTTTCTGTTTATTCAAACCCAGATATACTCAGCATCAAATAGTATTTAACGGCGTTTTTTCCCATCGGGAACCCATCAGTTGCTGAGTTTTCAATAAGACTAAATATAAGTCGTAGAGAGCACTGCAAACCACCATCAAAATAACTGTCATGAATGAACTTCTAGCGACATTCAGGTAAAGTTACAGGGAGTTAAGATGCCAGCACTGACTCAATTTAAAGTCTGTGTAGGTATATCACACTCCACCACAAACTTCAGTGCTGCGGAAACAAGACTTCAAGATTATTTGTATACATATGGTGCTTTAAGTACTCAAAGCTGGTTTGCTACGAGTTGAGTAATTAATTTGTTTATATTTGAGATTTTTCAGAGATATTTGCCATGACTGAACTAAAAACTGTATGTCAAGCAAAAATTCTTAAATTTGGAACATCATATCCAGTAGAGATACTAATTCAACCAATCAGCATTAATTTACCTACTAATCGTACTGCTATTGGTTTAAACTTGTGCATTCATGGTCACTCAGTCAAATTAACCATTTCCCCATGAGTTTTATGCTCGCTGTCTGCTACTTAATATACTGTCATTCATTGGATTTTAAATATAGGTGAATATAATGAGAATAAGGAAGCAATCTTTGCAAAGTATAATTTTGGGATAGAAGAAAGACAATAATCCCATATATTACTTTCTCTTCAATCTAAGATATATTGTGTAATTTTTCCACTGGGAAATAAATCTATGTTGTCTAGCTACTAAATGTTTCGGTTCAGCTATCCGTGAAGATATGAATTGGAGTCCTGGGATCCAGGCATCCAAAAGTAAATTTAACAAGATTTCAGACTGGTCAACGCTTACCACTCCCCAGTTTTTAAGCAGTAAGTGGATGGATTACCGGATGCGAAGGGTGTTATGTGCTCATATTTGTAGTTCAATATACATCTCGTCTAACGGTGATAGTTATACCAACCGAAAGAAGGGAAATAAGAAACTTTGACAAATGCGATTGGGTGAATTGTTTTACTTATTTAAAAGACATTTTACATAAGACTTTCTTTCTAGCAATGTTGTTTAACTCAGCCCAAAAGCTTTGTGCTGACCTCTCACTTACGTCTTCCCGTACAGTTTATAGCTCTGAAATAAACACTTGTTATAAAATCCCTAATCTCTTCTCTGTGAAATAAAGTCGTTTGTCATCACATAAATTTTATGCAAATACGCCTGATTCCGATCATTAGTGAACACAATTTTTGTCTTTTATTTAACAGAGGTTAGGATGATAATTGTATGACTAATCCATGTGTGAACTGGATGTATGAGAAGGTGTAACTGTATGCATAAATAATCATGTTGTCGGTCAGCATTACAAACGAGTTCAACAACGAACATAATAAGAAAAGTGCCATTGAAGTCAAAACAGTAATGATGAATACAATTTGGAATTTGATTATTATTTGTACTGTCGACCACATGACTTTAAAGTTGAACATAAAATAGATGTTGCTTACTGCAATACCATCACCATGAAGCTTGGAATTTTATTTTATTTGAGGTTTATACAAAGTGACGTAAGTTTACTCCAGTAGACCATTTCACTTACTTTGGGAGCTACAATAACCCGAATGGGTCGGTTTCTGACAAATTCACAGCTACGATATAAAAACCGTGATTTGGGACCCACTAACTTTATTTCCGTTTTTAAAAGAACTGTCTGACTATCTGCAAAACTACAAGTATTCTATACATCAGTCACCTTCATTTACTTGTACAGTTGTAAGATATGACTGTCGAAAGTAAAAGGTACAAAGAAGCTGCAGGTGTTTAGCAATAAATGTCTTCGTAACATTGTGTATGAGCAGTGTCAAGATTAGACGTATAAATATTAGCAAAGAAAAGTGAGTAAGTGAGTGTATGAGGTTGTAAACCCACACAGATAGAGACGGCTTGGACATGTGTTACGCATGCCGAGACACCATTTAGCTCGACGTGTAAGGTTAATCGAAGTAGTAATGGCTTGGCAGAGGGGTAAGTGTAGTCAGACGAAGAAGTGGTACTAATCTATGAATCTCCTGACTGTTGATCTGAGGTGTATACCGAGATAGAGACTGAATGGTTGGGGTCCTGGAGAAACTGGAAATCAGTGGTTGGAGACTATTTGTAATGTGGCTCAAAATGGATCACTATGGTACATATGTATATACTTTTCGTCATTTTTAGTGTTGAATATTTTCATTCATTCTTATCTAATCATCCTCTCTCTTCTAGTACACTTCTCTCTCTGCCTTTATATCTCCCTTCCTATCCATCTTTTTTCTGCCTGTCAGTGCACACCCATGACCCCGCCATGGATCAAAAGAAGGATCATTAGGTTTTGCAGTAAGCAACTTATGATTCTGCCATTAGGCTGCAGTTCGGTGATCCATTTTTCTCCTTCTGTCAATCCTCGATAGGGCGTGACCATTATCCGATGCCATTCTTGAGTGTTTATCCTCACTCCAACTTGGTTTGTTCCAATGGACATGGTTTCTAATTGGAACCTTGGGAAACCTCATCTCGAAGCATGTTGTCGACGAACACTAAACAATAATTCAGTCTGAAAGTTAGTGGGTATTTATTGATTTCAAGCTGATATTCATCAAGGAATAACATCACCTAGAGAACCATTGAAAACCTAAGAAAACTGGACAGCTGATTCATCCTAGTATGGAACTCCTGAGCAGTGCGTATCAGTAATCCTGCCACAAATCTGTTTGTCTCATCAAGTGATTGTTCTGAAGACAGTGTGGTTTGAAACTTTTCTGAACTATTGGATAAAATATATGATAATAATATTGATTAAGGTGATATAAATATGAAGCTAAGGTTATATCATGAGTGCATTACATCATACGTTTTTTGTTACCTGAGACTCCCCAGTTTTATATGTCGACCAATCACAACCGTGCCTAAGCCACCAACAGTAGGTACGTTATTATTATCATTATTACCATCATTGTCCGAGGGTTTATTCGCCCATTTCTCAATCACATCTTGATTAGTTGTTCTAGTGGATTCATCAATCTGTATCCATGGCCGACCAGATACGATACCCGTTTGAATAGTATGCTTAACATTTCGTGTAAGATTTTCTTTACTATGTACAAGTAATATGCGATTTGGAACACGTCCGTCAATATACCTACAAAAAAAGATAAATATTGAAGTGGTTAAATTTATGAATATACCTGCAGTTAAAACAGGCCTAATTCCTTGAAATGCAACCTAAACAGCTATGTGACTTTTACATTGCATTCAATAGCAGTTATGCAGAGTTTAGCGTTTCGTATATATCTGAGAATTAGATGGTTTTTCAGTCTGCAAACACTTATGTCGAATGGATTTGTGTCAGAATACTTCTTCATCGAAAGTGGAAGACAAATACCGACAAAAATAAAAACCTAACACGTTTTATTTAGTACATATATTTCTTGTGGTACAGGGAAAAGTGTACAAGAGAGGAGTTGACATTTAAAGTTATTTTCCACGATCAGCTGACATTAACGAAGCGATCAATGAAGCTTTCGAAGTTCCGGATAGCTTGAAATTCATATCTAAAGCAAAATCATAAAACTTAATTGTCCTGTATACCGTCACGCTAAGGCCTGGGAGTGAACACTTCTTCGGAGTTACAAACTAGGGTGAAAAACATATCAGATTAATTCTCAAAGTAATATTTACTCCTAGTGTTTATCAAAGCTGAATCAAAGTGACTGTAGGATGAAACAGCTGCCAAGTGCGTCTGAGTATTCACCGATTCTTCACTCCTTATCTTTCGTTCCTTTTACACCTACTTCTTGTGCTGGAGATTTTCCGCATTTCATATATCAACCCAACATTACTAACAGTAAGGTTGACTTCTAATTAGGCTCATATGCATGAAAATAGTCAGCACCGTAAGTTTTGCAGTCCGCTAACCAGACAGCCACAAAGTCTCGGTTAACTTCGTACGCAATCCAAATGGAGATGTACTGAAGTCCTCGACCTGGGTCATCACTCATTAAGATCAGCTCTATCTCACACTAGAAACTCTCCTATATATCACCTCTTCCTTCCACTCCAGTGAGACGGTGGTACCCACATACTCCAGTCCTTGTTACCTGCATGTTTAACCGGAAATCAACCGACTTTAGGAACTCAATAGTGACTACTTCTAAGGATCACTGACTGGCAAGGAATGGTAGAAGGTAAGAAAAACACAAGTTTCATCAACTAACTGCTCAGAAACAACCAAGTCCCTGTCACTACATCAATTGTTATCTTCTTCTTCCTTTGTTTCTATCGATGTATTACTGTTACTTTCTGCTTCCGATTTGCGGCTGAACTGTACTAAGATAAACGGATGAATAATTATTCTCTAAAAACCGGAATAACTTTTATAGGCATTACCAAAATTTATGAACAGCATATACAGCAAAAAACAACTAGGTCTTACTTCAACACAACCCTCCAGTTAGAAATACCCATAGTGAATTGATGGTCTTGTGCATTATATAGCAGTAGCTGTTCTTGTTCACTTGGTGGTGATTGATAATGTAGAAGCATACCATTAGCTTCAAGCAGTCTCAGTGTAAGTTGTAGTTCAGTTGGTTGATCCATATGGAATGGTATTCTGACTAACAATGTAGTTGTTTCTGTAAATAATCGTCCATTGTTCTGCTCAGCATCATTATTATCATTACTAGTAGTATTGATTATTATATCAGATGACTGAGAATTCAAAGTGATTGTTGTATTCTTGCTGATTTTTTGTTTTGCGGGATCATTCCGCCCATTTGTTAGCTGATTTCCATCTTCCTGTAGGCGCGCTAATAAATCTCAAATATTATTGTGGTTATTAAAAGTTAGTAAATATTTCTGCATGCACACATATTATGCAAACTTAATTTTAACGAGTTTAAAGCGTATGGTCACCAAATTATAACGAATGTGTTCATCAAATATCAAGTGTTAACAAGAGTCTGCCCGTCGAGTTTTGAAGTACGGGATAACATAGTGCCAAACTGCTTTTAATTTTTAGTTGTTTGGTGTATATCGCCAACGGAGCATGCCATAGTTAAGTTTTTGTTTGTCACCACTCATCAGAAGAAACTTAGCATCCAATTTAGTGAGGACACTAAATACCTATTCGAAATCTGTAACTCTCCATCTGGTAAACAACTTGTGCGCGTAATACATTCCCAATGTGGATTAGTATATGAAGTAAAGTGCATGACTTCACCACTAAGTGAAATGGGTTCAGGGGACCACCATATCAGTAACAAAACGTTGCAAGCAGAAGGGGTTAGTCAGTTGATGAAGTTGTGAACCTTTATCAACCCAAAGAGCTGAGGTGTGTATTGGTTAAAACATGGAGCCAGTGTATGAAGTCTTTGACTGTTGGTCTGAGGCATGTACGGTGATGCAGACTAGCCGGTAGGCTATCACATGACAACAGAAACCACTGACTGGATAACCTATGTGATGTGATGTCTGTGGCGTAGATGTTTCGACACATTATCTTAATCTTAATCGCCAAACTGGTATTAGCGTTTTCTCATTCCTTCTTCCTCTCTTTCACTACATTCTACTGCTTTTGGACGATTCTTCTTTATTTCTTAATCTTCCGTCTTATTACTCTGTTACTTTCATACGTAAACCTGTAAACGTTATCTTATCTAGCTATTCACACATAACACAAAATAGTTTTCCTAAATTCAAAAAAAAACATGGGTCCAATTGCTTAAAATAATTTGAAACCTTCGCAAAGCCTAGGACTAGATGGTATGCTAAGTATTCTATCTAGCAAATGTGTTGATATTTTATGTCGTTCTCTTACAAACATTTTTATTGAGTCCTTTGCCAAAAATGAAGTATCATCTGCCTGGGAAGAAAATTGGACTGTCAGTATCTATTCTTACGTTCCGTTATTTCTTATTTTCCCCATACTTACTTATTGTTTCCTGGACTCCGGAAAAAAGATTACGCTGTATTGCGTAGGATTTTAAAGACTATTAGTATAGTGAGTTGCACGCCGCTAACCATGCTGATAAGTGTGGTCATGCACAGGCATCTAAACTCTTTTAGACAGGCAGCTAAAAGTATTTTATCTGATGACAAGCATTCAATGCATCTGTACCTCTCCACATATCTGTCGTCAGGGGAGATATGAGGTAAATACTTTAAAATTTATGCACGCACAACTATATATAAAAATCCAATCATACTTTATTTAGCTTAAGTATTGTGTTAAGAAAATCATGTTATACATAGTCTTATTAGCCAAGTTCGCAATAGCGAAGTTATCTTGACCCTGAAGTCATAAGCATTTCACCAATCCTGTTATTCTCTATTATTTGTTGTTAAGTAGCACCAATGTTAATATATATTTTAAAATGTTGTATAACGAGTAAACTTATGTAATATCACATGCCGGGAATTCTATACTGCAAACAAAATTGGGGTTTTGTATAATGCTTTTATATCATTATCATTATTGTTATTGCTGTGCTGATATGAACTGTTACAATTTGGACCGTTACGTAGTAATCTCTGGTTCTATGATGATGTTAATGATGACGATAATGAGTAACTACAGTATTATGGACAAGAGCCAAAAGTCTCTAGACTTTTCACCTAGCCTGTAAGTGTGTTGGTGAGATGCCAAAAGAAAAGAAAAGAGTAATTAACTTTGTTGATGCTTTTCTACCTAGAAAGTGCGAGAACCTAACTTTTGTAGGAATAGTTATATGAAGTGTTGTTATGTGACTAAGGGCTCATTGTCATCTATCATGATGCTAATTATTAATTTTAACAGTGAATTTGCAAAGTGATAGGTTGAAAACGTCTTTTTAAAAATTATTATGTATAATACTGTTCGACGACAGATTAGAATGACTAAAGTTTAAAGTTTTAGCAAACCGCTAGTCAGTTCAATAAACAACTGATAACCTTTCAAACTTATTCTGTAAAAGCATATGCCTTGCTGAAAAACACCAACAGACAACAAAACTGAGTTTGCATTTTTCAATCTGTTAGCTCTACTGACATTTACTGAATAACTTATTTTAATTTACAGAATAACCGATCATACGCTTGCATAGCATGTTAGATAATACTTTTTGATTTATTTTCCTCAATAAAAAGAAATCTGATACGATATGAGCACCAAGAAAACTTTTGCGTGAAGTGAGTAACTTTGGTTAGCGAGTTGAAGTTTTTATCATGGTGTTATATGATGATTTGTGTGACTGTTGAAATGCCACCCACAGCAAGCGGTTATCTTCTGAACTAATCATTACATCTTTTAAGTCTGGTTCAAAGAGCAGTAGTTTTCATTATGTAAATGATCTTATTTGGTATCAGAGCTACTTAACTCGCATAGACTGGCCCTCAGAATCCACTGGTTTGGTTATAAGGGTATCGTTTTATGCTTCAATTTCCTAGAAACCACCCGTTTATGTAAGTGCGGTCAATACATCTTCTCTAGAGTGAAGTGTGAACGCCTGATCACAACAACACTTTTCCAGAGGGTAGGGGCTCTATTCATCAATTTTGATGTATACTTTTATCCGTTATAGGTAGTTACGTTTGCCTGAATTAATAGTGCTTGCTAGCCAAAAGATCATCAAAGCAAAAAAACAGCTGTCTTATTCTCTTAACAGAAAGTTGTCAGCAGGCTATGTGAAGTGATTTTGTCGAAATACGTAGACCATTCTATCAGCCCCAAAACCCTTCAGGTATTTGAGTCAACTCATTAAGTTTCAAGGTAGTATTCATCACCAACTGACATCAGCTGGAGAACCGTTGAAAATCCGTGAGCACTGAACAGTGGTCACCGCAAGATCTGAAGGTGTTGACCCAGATCTGTGATAGGGTTTTGTTTACGCACTACTCAGAAATGCAGTACTAAGAAGAAACAGCTCTTCGAGGCTTCCAGGCTTTCAACGGTTCTCCAATTGATGTCACTACATGATGAATAGCACCTTGAAATGAGTAAATCCTTCGAATATCAAAGTAAACAACTCAAATGTTATACATTACTGATAATTTTTACTTTCATTTTTTTCTTTTGCATTGCAATCATTTTCTGTCACTTGGCTACCGTCTGGACACATTGAACATTGTCGTCCAACAACACCTGCACGACAGTTACATTGACCTGTGGCTTGATTACACGAGGCATCAACTGAACCAAGTGGGTGGCATGAACATGCTATTGAATAACATAGCGAAATAAGGAAGGGACAAAATTTCAGTACGTAAATTATATGGTAGGGCTATAGAACTTTGTTATTCTTGAGCGACTCTAGAATGACCTATTTCCTCCTCATTTTTAATATAGAAATGAAATCACGGTAGATTTGGTTTCTTAAAGATGTTCAGGAACTTTTCTAGGTTTCAGATTGCTTCTTACTGATCTAAGTAAAATTATTTACCGAAAAGTAATTCACACTTGGGATTCCATATTATTAAACCACCTGAACTGTCACCTGAATATAATTTCATGCAAACAGAATTATTTGTTAGTGTTTAGGGACTTAAAATATAATGTCTGTGATTAGGTTTAAGAGTGCGCAACCTAATACTAAAACATTCTCCAGTGTGAACTTCTAGTCAGTAATTGTGTTTTATTTGGGAAACCTACCCCTGGAAACCAGCTAATGGTACGAGACGATAAAATGAGAAGTAGTTCTCAAAATCAAAATTATGATCTTCATAATTGTGCATAATCCTATTGACAATTAGTGACATCTTTAAAATAATGCGAAGCATTCCAGAATGGCTGTACAGTCACCTTTAAGGTAATTTATCACTTCAAAGTCATTTGGTAGTCGCTCATTGACGGCAAAACTATCAAGATCCAACAAAAATGTTTATGTATTTAACGAAGAGCTTATTTTATTTTTTTGGAAAAATTGTAAAGGACTACCTGAGAAGAACTTACAAGCCATGTTGAGAGTAATTAGAGAAACACTAAAATATGCAGCATTCGACAAGTGTATGTTTCTAATTCAAGACTGTGTCTTCATCACCAGGCTAATAATAGTTATTTATAGGGGGTTGGCATTTTATTATTCAGTCGCGTTGGACGTCAATGGTCCAGTGCATTTCTGAAGACTAGTGAGTGACCATCGGTTTACTGGATAAATAACGACGTGTTAGTTTTGAGTTGAGTAAACGTAAGCAATTGTGAGAGATTTATCTGGCGAACAAGTTATATGTATTTTCTTGGAAGATTCATAAGGCTTAACCATTTATTCGCGATTATAACATGTGCTAGAATGACCAATAAATGTACCTGTGATAACTTGTGATGAAGCCAGAGTTAGACTGTGGAGTACTTGATAGTGATACGAATCGAAACCAAAAGGTAGATGGAAAGAGAGTAGGGGGTAAGTCGCATTGGCTACTTCATTTACTTGGGAGGTCAAGTCAACCTAAATGGGTTAGTGATGGACAAATTTCACCACAGATGCAAAAAGTTGAGTTGGTATTGTCAACCTGTGCCTCTAATGAGACCGGTGAAATATACGCTTGTAGAGCAGCTTATTGTGTCCTATTGCGCAGAAAAAGATGTGTAGAAAGACACCTGAAAATGAAAGATATCAGGAGGGTTCAGGTGTTTTATCACAGGTTTCTTAACAGCATCGGTTGTGTGTCACTCAGCCATCATATTAGTCAAAGTTAGACGAGGTGGTAAGAAAGCGAAAAGTGGTCAGTTCAACACATGGCACTAATCCCTGAAGTGAGTAACTGTCAATATCTAAGTAGATGTCGGGTGCCTAACTGAGGTTTTTCACTTGTAAGACGTCAGCAATTGATGACTTGTTGACATCTCTTGAAGTCGGTGACAGTGATTCAGATCCATGAATTCCTTATAATCTTCAGAATTCCTACATTTTTCATAATCTTCAAGTATTTAACCTCTTTTCACGTACAACTATGCCTATTTTTGTGTTATGCATTTATCCTTTTCCTGCTTGAAATGAAGTTCTTTTGTACCAGGTTCTACACTGCTGAAACCAAGGAATAAAAAGCAATCCAACTATGAGGTCCAGGTGTCAGAAGTTGTGTGATTGCCTTGATATGATTATGAACAGTAAATTGTACTAGAAACTTCATCTAGTACATAATACTGTTTCAGTGTAACATATTAAATTTTACTCTACTAATGTGTTCAATTTTTACTCTCAAAAGTGGATCGGCAGTTGGACAGTTGGTGTGATATCAAAATGAAAAAGAGATAAAGACTAATTGTAACAGGATCAGTAAATAAAATCTTATAGGTAATTAATTAAGATTGCAAACAGAGGATGAGATCAACAAAAATAATTTGGTTACTATGTCCATCTGTCAATCAGGAAATTATCAGGATAATTATATGGCATTAGGACTATTACAGGACCACGCAGTTTTAATGGAAACTACTTCGACCGTTTAGAGAAAATGAAGGCGAATCCATGAAGTCGTCAGTCTAGGATTCATTGTATAGCTGAAAGAGACGTCTTTATAACCACTGAATAACTGGTTCCTATCAAATGCATATGCACGGATAGAACTTTCTCCCCACTTAATCATTTCCTCAAGTATAGCTTCGTAAGTCTAGAAAAGATCCTCTTAGTATGTCCAGAGTGGGACATTTCACAAGATCAGCTGAACTTCTATATCCACGTTGATTTTGACTGGTGAAGAACCATTTCTTTTTGCTCCGAAGATAGAATGGTTCTACTTGTAAACCGAATTTTTAGTATGTTATCACCAAAACTGTTTCCAAGAGGTGTGTCAGTGCTCTTTACAGATTAAAGATTTTCCAGCTGAAGTTTATTCATGATGAAAAATGTCTTCAGATAAATAAGTTTGCATTTGACGACATTTTTGTAAAAGTGTCTTCGCCTATTTTGTAGCTTATTAGGTGGATAACAGTGGAATCAAGGACTTGGGTTTCGTCCTGATTAGAGCTTGTCGACTGGATGTGCCTGCCTGCACCTCAGTGAGTGGTCTTCTCCTCACTGAGACCTTTCAGTTACTTTTCGGTCACTGGAAGAACTGAAGAAGCGACTTCCACGAAGCTGCGAAGCTTCAGTAATTTATTTTACCTCATTGAGATTTTACGAATATATTTAATTTATAATACTAACTAACTGTTTGAATTCAGTAAAATGAACTATTAAAACTTGGAAATGGAGCAGAATAACGATTACTCATACAAATTCAAATATATATTTCGTTAGTTAAAACTTATAAGGTTTAATTAACTTACGAATGCACTCATGGTTATTTTGTATACCCAATAATTTCCGAGGCACTGGTCACATTTCAGACCACCAACACCCCACTTACATCGACAATTGCCTAAGTAATCACATTCTTCGGATAATGCACCGAGTTTGTTACATGTACAAGTGGGTATCCTTACGCCATCTATAGCATTAAGAAGAACAATTGGATAATTAAATATTATTTTCGATTCTTGGCTTGTAGGAAAAAAACTCCTTTAGGTGAAATAAATTGCTAAAATTAGTTTTCCTGAAAAGTTGACATCACTTGATGAATATGGACTGAAAATAAAGTAGTACTAGAGTAACATAGTCAGTAGTTCTCCACCTTGTATGGAAGATACAGTCGTCACTTCTCCCTAGATCTAACTGACAGTTCTCACTTTTCATAATGAACATCTGGTTGCAAAATAACTTGATTTTCACAACTGACACAAAGGACTCGGTGAGTCTGTGCTATTCTTAGAGTCGTTCTGCATATGTCTAGGCACCTGAATTTCAGAAAAACAGATCAGAATATCGCTTATGAAGCAGACTGCTGTTTCCTGTCAATCAAGTAAGAGTAAATGTTATTTCATCATTAAACCCAGAAGGTTATAATAGTTACTGCCACCTTTGTTATCCTGTACCTAAGTAAACAACCTATCCATAGTTTTCATGAGACATTCTACCCTGTAGGTTAGTAATATAAGAATTAAGTTTAAACTGAATGAATAGTTTGCAAGTTGTTTACGGATTGCACAGCCCACGTCAACAATTCTAACAACTGAGTGGTTTTTCAACTGGTATAAACGGGATTTCAGTTGATCTGAACAATTCACCTCCATGACCTAAATTTTCACTGTAAACTACTAATAGACCAAACTTAAAACAAGAGAAATTGCTTTCCAGTGGTGAGACCACTCTAATCTGACCAGCCAAATTTGCAGATCAACATGAATGGTTTCCAACTACTCATATTATTAAGTAGTATATTTAGAATTAAGTTTAATTTTTCTTAAACAAACAATTTCTTACCTGCCTGGAGAACTGCAGACATTTTCATGTTTGAGTCTTGCATACCGGTTGGAGTTCTACCACGACACCGTACACCAGTTAAATCAACATCAATATTGGCTTGCTGAATACATGATTGACGTTTTAGTTCGCATTCACTTGGATACAGTTTGCCGTCTGTACCACAGACATCAAGTTCAGTTGGATGTTTCGGTGGGCAGGTATCTCGACAGACACACTGACCATTACGACACTGAAAACCCAGGGGACATCCAGCAGCACATGGACCTATATTTATGCGGTATATAAAATTGACAGAGTGACGAAAAACATTCTAAGATTACTTTCACAGTTAATAACTTGTACATCACAGTAAAATAGTTTCCATTTGAAAATAACTAAACAGATGTGAGTCACCAGTGAAATGTTTTCTATCCAGATACAAACACTTTGTTAAAACACGTTCAGACAACTTGTGTATATAAAGGTAGTTTTTATGGTGTACTGACAGAAGATGGAGTGTTACTGAAAGCTTGTGGGCACTAGATAGCTGCTATGTCCTGGCTCAGAACTCCTTAGAAGTGTGCACTTAAAACACCGTCATGGATAGAGTACAAGACCATCTTATTTGCGGTTAGCCTGTTACCATTCAATTTGTCCTACTTCTGTAGATTTGTGACGTAACGCGAACACCCCCCAAGGTCATAGGCATGAGCCTGACCTGTCACGGTGTTGAGCAGTTATAAACTGCTGCCATAACAGTCGATCAGTTCTCCTAGATTTTCTATAGCTGTTCAGCTGGTGTTAATCTCCGTTGAAATTTAAATGAAATCCTAAGAAATCTATGACCAAGCATGTGTTCGTTTATGAAGTGGCTATCATTAGGAATTGATGTAAATGTGAAAGACAATGTTATATGAGCAACTGTTTCAGCCAGTATAGAAATTTAAGATATTTAACTTTCGGCATTACTCTTTATTTTCTATGAATACAATTCAACTTAAGACGCCATTGAGCTCCCTAAACAGCATCGATTACCATTAGTAGTCAACCATTATTACTTTAAAAACTATAGTCTTTATACTAAAACTAAACAGTCTAGACGTCATTCGTTGGTACTTGCAATCCCCCGTTATTATGTTGAACTGAAATGACCAACCTCTGTTGGCTTATGGGCTCTTGTGTGGATGACTGGATATTGTCTGAGTACTTATTGCTATAAGTGGCTTGGTTGTGACTGGCAAAGGAACACAGGACACGTTTCGACCTATCTGGGACTCGTCAGTTGGGTGCACCCGAGCTCTAAATAGGACAAAAATATGTTCTGGATTCTCTTTCTAGTCATCTCTAGGCCAATTATAGTAATAAATAAACAGCCTAAAGTTAAAAGTTTCGTCATAAATTTAGAGTAGTCTATGGTTTGGCCGCAGTAACTCACTGAGAATAGTCATTGATACTTGACTCCAATGAACCCTAGTTTTCAGTGATTCTCTGACAGATACCGGGTCATTATGAAAACTTCTCTGAAATTCATCAGTTCCATACAAATCACCGAATCAAGCGACAACTCAATGTACTTCGGTGACCAGTCCTGAAGCCTCATATTATATTTGCCTGGTGTTAAAGGTCTGCCAAATATACTGAGATTTCTGGTTCATGGGTTCAGAAGACCATGCTTTTTGTCACTATTTTCGCCTAATGGAACAATACTGTTTGCATAATTTAAGTCATTCAGACACCTTCCAGCGAGCCTGTAGTTCAATCCCTGTAGAATCGATCATACCTAAGGTACTGCCAATTAATTCATCTATTAGGAAATTGAAGAAGAAAGATGGCAGCCGACATCCCTGCCGAACACCAGTGATTGTCTTCAATTCGGATTACAACTCTCAATAAGCGCTTATATATTGGCGTAAGCTTTTTGATCCCAGCATGTTTCATTACTGTGAATAAATTTTCAAAATGAAGTAAATGAATGCCGCTCTCAAGTCAAGAAATATTCCAAACGTCGGGCTCAGGTAGGTATGTCTGCGTTTCAGAGGAAATTTAACGGGTGAAGATCTAGTGGATTCACTTTCAGTGAAATCTGAAACTTTTCTTGTTATTCTGAGTATTTTGTGCTTGATCTGAAACTATGAGTTGGATAACTATGAACCCTAAGATCTTAGCTTCGATGATATTGAAACCTAGCCATCTGTGATTTTCATAGGATGCCATCTGCCTTTTCCTGCAAACAGGGATGGTTAGAGACCTACAACCAGCAATTTTTTGAGGTTGCAGACTACATCACAAGTGACCGATAGGTTTCAAGGATAATTTAACTAAAGTATGTAAAATTGAGTACTCTTCAGTGACCAGTGAGTGTTAAATAAAACTTGATGAGAGTTTAGATCGAAATTCACTGAGAAAGCTTGAGCACATTCGTGTAGTAGGTATTGAGCCATACTTATTGTGTGAAGGCTAATGATACTACCTGACTTCCTAAACCTTGTTAAGCAGATAGGGATTCGAACCCATAGCCCATCGGTCGATGTCCAAGTGCCTAGCTCCATAGGGATTAGCTGAAGTCATACATACAAAGCGAAGTGTAAGACGAAGCTGACTACTTGACTAAGACATTTTTTATATAGACTGAGAATTTGTTGTCATTAGAAATTTTTTCAGGTTTGTGAATCTCACGAGGATAAGCGCACACCTAATCTTTTTGTGCATCCATTCACTTCTCGTCATTTTAATGATAATTCTAAATCATAAAAGAGAAAAGCGAAGAAAGCAAACCATGCGAAAAATTGAAGTAATGAAGACCACTGGTTATCCAGCTGTTTTAATCAGTGGAGTGTATACTTCCAACAACACTCAAAAAAATAGTTGGAGAGTTATTTTGTTCTGATACTATCCTGAGCTAAAGATGATAGCAATAACAAGAATAGAAGAAACTAGCAGAAATCATTTCTACAACTTTTTATCTTCGGTATATTCAATTGGATAGGTGTACATACGCATAAACATACAAATCTTTATGTGGAGGAGGGATATAGATAGACAGACAGATAAAATGACAGAGACGAAAGAATATATTAGATAATTACTTGTTTATGATAGGCGAAATCATTTATGTAACTATAGCGCTATCGTAGTCTCTGTGTAGATGATGGCATAAGCCCATGTACGTGTATGCGCAAGCGTTAATCAACATCTTGTGAATCGTTTGACGCCTGTTCCATTCAGTCTTGATAGTCCTCAGTAGTGGAGACCAACCATCCCATGTTGGATCGAATGTACTGTCAGCTCTTTTGATAACCATGTTAACATTTGGTAGCTGGGTTGGAACAAGTGAACTGTTAGGCTTCAAACCAGTGGTTTATTATTAACATGCTCACCACTAGGCTTTATGGTACTTGGCTCGATCCTTGACGGAGATGTCAGTGTACACTGGTAAGGAGTCCTGAATTAGAATGAAACAAGTGCCCACTGTTCTTCAGTTGACGTAAATCTGTTATAAGAACTACTCCCTAACTTCTAATACTAACCTGAGTTATCTCAAACTTTTACACCCTAACATACAAAAATGAAACCAGCATCTTGAAATTGGTCTAAGACGTTTGGGTTGATGAGTAACGGTAACTTGGCAGGTGGTTTCATTCAACTCTGCAAACCTTGTTTGGGGGATCATTCAAGCCAGAAAGCGACAACTATAATAGGTATAACAATGAGCAGCAGTTTCTTTGGCAAACGTCTCGGTATCACGCTAAACAGTGTCACTTGATGAAATTTCTCTAGTGACATAAAACCTAAGATAGGCAGCCAATTATCAGTTTGACTATCTGAGACAGCCGTGGTTTGGCAGAATTGCATTATTGATACCGGATGATGACTGAAGATGAAATGAAAACCTCGGTCGCTGCAGGATTCGAAACAGTGACCTTCAGGTTGCTTCCCCAGTGCTCTACTAAGTGAGTTGTATGACTCAGCTGCTGACCGACAGCTAGATGTCGTAGCTCAGTTGGCAGAGCACCAAGTTTTTATTTACCTTCAGTCATCATTCAGTATCAAAAATACCGGTTGGCAGACTTTCACAGCGGGATATAAACAATATATAGACGAAATTATCGATGGCATTCGCCAATCGCAGATAACAACTTTTCAGCTCCTGTTTGCCAGTACAGATTTCTCTTCCAAGAAAAATATTGACTGAGAGTGATTATCCGCCAAAAGACATACAAAATCAGCTATCCCAGATAAATCACCCTTGCACCAAAAAGAATACTGCATATGAAGAAGATTTAAAGCTCACTTGGGAGGTTTTTCTTTGCATCGAAGGGGAAATTAGCATTCTTCTGTAATTCACTTATTTCAAACTATTTTTAAATACAAGTTCACCTGCTTCTGTGGAGTCAGTGGGTTTAAGAACACCATCCGAAAAACACTTGTGAAGAGAAAAAATGGAACCAAAAGAGTGCTTTAGTCGGATCTAACGTTCTCGTTTTGGAGAGACTCTTCATTCAGATTCCACTGTAAAGCAGAAACGTTTCCCCAAAGATCATACCGTCTAAATCATGTGCATCACTGAAGCCATAGCAGTTCCACAGAGGTCCTTGTCCGGTATATACAGAGAAAAAACCCGACCGACTAGTGTCTGTTGTATAACTTTGATTCCATTCGGTAAATTCACTCCCCCTTTGATTCTCTTCACTTCTTACTTGATATCAAGGATCCGTTGTTTTCATGTTAAGTCTGATCACACTCAGAATGTCTGATATTTCGATCCATTTAGACTGTTGATTTAGACTGTTTAAATGGATTTTGAATTACCACGAATTGGTCACATAGTCACAGCCGTTGTAGCCGTCAGGTATTAGAGACTGACTGAATTCTGATGGTTATGTTTACATTCCAACCATTAACCTATTTGAACTCCAGTTATGGATACGTGTACCTAATCCACTGCTGAAGGGGGTCAACTATATCCCTGGGTTCATGCTTCCTGGTATACCAAGCTGATGTATCCCAATAAGTTTGAAACCAAGGTCTAGGATGACTTCTTGTTCATCGACCTCTTTCATCTAACACCAAAGTTTGATTGTTAAATGATGGGGATGGTATTTCAAGTACTGAAATTACTATCGTACTTCGCGAACTACTGTAACTATCACATGTGGAACCACTGATTCTGTCACACACAAAGGTAGCATTTTAGTTCGCCTGAAAAGCTTCATGAATGAAGCAATAGTACAGCGACATGTCCTCCCAACTGCTTATTCTCCTTTTATGTCATTGTGAATTCTCTA